AGAAGAATGAGGAGGAGGAGGAAGAGGTACAGGAGGAGAAGGAGAAGGAGAAGAAGAAGAAGAATGAGGAGGAGGAGACGAAGAAGAAGACGAAGAAGAAGAGAAGAAGAAGAAGAGGGAGAGAGGGAGGGAGAAGAAGAAGAAGAAGAAGAAGAAGAAGAAGGAGGAGGAGGAGGAGGAAGAGGAGGAGCAGGAGGAATTAGAGGAGGAGGGGGGGGAGAACAAGAAGGTATTGAAAGTAGATTTCTCCTGCAGTGGATTTAGAGCGCACGCCGAACTGCGCCGAAGGATATTTTGCGTTCAGTATGTTCGTGTGTAGATCTAGATCTATGTATAGATCTAATATCTAATCTAGATCTAGATCAAGATTTTAAAAAATCAGGAAAATATTGAAAGTATATTTCTCCTGCAGTGGATTTAGCGCGCCCGCCAAAAGATGAGTGTATATTGTGCACAGTGTCTAGATGAGACCTAGAATCGAGATCTAGAATCGAGATCTAAATGGAGATCAAGAAGAATCATGAAATGAAAGTAAAATCAAGATATGTGGTATTTCGATAACCTATTGAATACTAAAAGTGGATTTTTCTTGCTGTGCATTACATATTCTTATATCTAGCTCCAGGCTAGGTCTAGATCTAGATCTGTATGTGAATCTTAGATCTAGATCGATATCAAGAATGATGAAAGTATTGAACGTGGATTTTTTTTCTGCTGTGAATAGATCTAGAGTCTAGAACTAGATCTAGGTTGTCGGTGAATCTAGATTCTAGACCGAGATCAAGAATCATGAAAATATTCTTGAAAGTGGATTTTTCCTGCTGTGAATAGATCTAGAAATCTAGGCCGTCTGTGACGCCTGTCGGTGGTTAAAAATGGGAATTTCTAAACTTAGATCTATCTATGGGCCTAGGCTCCTTCTTTCAATTATTGGCCAATGTCTTTATAATAATCCTTCGAGATCTAGGCTAGATCCAGAATCTCGATTAGGTTCTTCTAGGAAGCAACAATTGGCATGTAGGCCTAACTCTTTTTTTTTTGTAAAGTGATTGAGCTGGAACTTTAGGAGAAAATGCCAAGCCTTCGAAGAGGGGGAAGAAGTCTTACCCCTAGAGGTAGTCAAGAGGGGTGCTACAAGGACAAATTCAAAGTAAAATATTTATGTTTTGTTTCTTTCATGTTTTCAGTCTTTTCCCTTTTCTTAACTTTCTTAATACTTCTTCATTATTATTCCGTTCGTAGAACGCGTACTTTTACTAGTATGACCTAATTGTGTTTCATGCAAGTGCCGTAAAAGTCTCTCTGAAACGAGAAACAGCCATGTTCAATCTCCTCTGCCCTATATGATGCAAGTGTGCCGTAAAACTCAACAACCATGTTCAATCTTCTCTGCCCTATATGACCTAATTGTTTTGCATGCAAGCACCGTAAAACTTTGACTGAAACTTTAGAAAATATTAATGTTCAATCTTCTTTATTGAAGCGTGCTGACAAAATGAGTTACTTCTCGGATTCGAGCCCTATGAAAATAGATAATAAAAGGCGTGTTATATTTTAAAAAGATGGCATCAAAAGAAAATCTACAAATTTGACATTAGTGTTGATTTTTGGCCAATTTCTCCATGGGAATTGCAAGAAGTATATCTTTTTGTCTGCACGTCTCATGATTAGTATCTTTGCGCTCGGAAGATAGGAATTTTGCTTTCAACTCCGTGGTGATGTATCTATTTTCATAGGGCTCGAATCCGAGAAGCAACTCAATATTGTCAGCACGTTTCAATATAGAAGATTGAACATTACTGTTTTTTAAAGTTTCAGTGAAGGTTTTAGGGTACACGTCTCTTTTAATATTATTTAAAATATGATATAATTATAATAATAATAATAATAATAATAATAATAATCTGTTCATTCTCAGGTGCACGTCCGACGCCTGATCCGCCGCGGGCAGCTGGAGATAGCGCTGGGCGGCTGGGTGATGCCGGACGAGGCGAGCACCCACTACGTGTCGCTGGTGGATCAGCTGGTGGAGGGCCACCAGTGGCTGTGGGAGAACCTCCGGGTGCGGCCGGAGAACAGCTGGTCCATCGACCCGTTCGGCCACTCGGCCACGGCGCCCTACCTGTGGCACCGCGCCGGCATGAGCAACATGGTGGTGCAGCGCGTGCATCAGGTGGGGGTTTTGCTACTGTTTTGTTTTGTTTTTGGGGGTTTTTTTTGGGGGGGGGCTCTGTCGATCTGTCTGTCGCTCTGTCTTACCTTTCCCTTGGCTGTTATTTTATGTACTTATTTCTCTTTATTCAGACTGTTAGTTGCGTTGCAAATTGTGTGTTTATGTGGTTTTTTGGGGGTTTTTTTTTAGGGGGGGGGGGTTAAAATATTGATTTTTGAAAACATGATTTGCTCGTTCATCATTTTTGTTTTTGAAAAGGGGAGGGGTATTGTTTGTTCTTTGAAGTAATTTGCATCTATGGGAGTGCTGCTTGAAATATTCCGAATAAGACGACGTTCTCTCTCCCTCTCCCCCCCCTCTCTCTCTC